GAAGTAACAGATATCGTTTTATTTTCGACCATAAATATTATTCGATACCGTTTTCTGCACACCTTTGATTTGAATATGAATCGTTTTGTGCTCTTCTAGGTGTTTTACAAGACATTGTATTTCAATGTTCTCAGTAGAACTGCAGGACTACAATATTTGACCGTAGTTTCTCCTTAGTGCATCTACTTCTAAAGAGTTCTATAGTTAACAATTAGAAAAAAAAAACAGAATGAGTTTCAAATTTTATGATAGAGACATGAAAATGATAGACGAAAGACAATGGTATTAGATACGTTCAATTATAAAGTTCTCTTTAAGATTGTACGAACCTCTAAGTCCAAGAGAATGTTATGAAGTATACAAGTCGAAATTTATAGTGACTAAGTCATAGTTCTACCAAACGCGATGAACTAAAGCCAACGAATTATTCTCACAAAGTAACAAAGCATCGTACAAGCCTATGAGTGACCCTACTATCTCAGAAATAGCACGTTGATTATTACAATTACCGAAACTTCTAGATTAACATTTACTAGAAGTATTATCGTATGACCTATTGTTAGCTCAATAACTTTAAAATACAGCACAGTGCAAAACAATTGCTACTTGATGTTCAGAATTTCGTGAAGCCTTTCTCGTTAACTTCACCTGAGAATTATTTGAGAACTCTATCTGTGTCTAATTCATGTCTATGCATATCCGTAGAAATCAATAGCCGTTTAAATAATATGCTTCAACCAAAGAAAAGTCCCTGATCTTTCGAGTATTAGATGTTTTTCGATAAACTGGTCATGTATTTTACACAATGGAAAACAGAAACATCGTTTAATCGCCGAAATCATCTGTTTCAAAATGGTCCTTATGTTTAATATCTGTCACAATATCGAGCAGCTAGATATGAGCACTCCATCGTGAAGCTTAAGGACTAGAATGTAAATCCGAGAAAATACTGAAGTATATGTAATAGGCAATATAATTGAGGTCGATCGATTGAAGTTCAGCCGTATTTACCAACGAAATTTGCTATCATGATAGTGGAGTTTGAAGTTTTTTATAGCGATGTTCAGGTTTAAGACTATTCATTCTGGAAAATAACTAAGAATCATCGATTGATTAAGTCTTCAAAATCACCTCTTCTATGATACAGGAAAACAACCTTGACAAATACGTTCGTTTAACAAGACAAAAACGGTTGAGAATACAATAACATATTGCCATCAAATTCTGAAGCCTAAAGTACTCGAAACAATCGACTAAGCGCCCAATAATATTAGATATGAATAAAATCATGGTTTTTCAGTTCTATTTTCAGATTTTTCAGGAAAAAATGAGCAGTTTTCGAATGTATAGTAAGTGAGATCCTCAAAATTTCACGAATTCGATGGATAATTGAGCGAAAATTGCCAAAGAATTCATGTGTGAGCACGAAATGATTTGATCACATCAATAAAAGTGAAATGTGTGGCAATCACTAATTTGAATAAAAAAAAGAAAAGAAAACCTATTCACAATCTGCATATGTTTGTAGTCTCAATATGTGCCTACACTGCGAATAAAAAAGGTTTCAAAATTATTGTTTGTGGAAGAAAATTTTTGCCAGAGATAAACGATAATTTTTTTTACACTCTACCCTACTGTAGCTTACGAAATCACAGAGTCAGGCAAATAATTTATCTTTCATTCTCTCATTATTATATTCTTCTATTCGCATAGACACTCACTACAATAGATCTCGAGTACAGTAGTATTGGAAAGCATGGAGCAAAACATTTGGCTAATGCCTTACGAAACAACCAGGTGACTCTTGTTCTCATTTCGCTTCTCTTCTTCTCTCATGTGTAGCTTTTCGTATGCATACAGACAGTCACCACATTGTATCTTAGATACAATGAATTGGAAGCTGTAGGAGCCCAATATATAGCTGATCTCTTACGAAACAACTCGGTAACTGTCATTCTTTTTTCATATATTTTCCATGTTGCATATTTTCTATACATACAGACACTGACCACGTTGGACATTGGATGTAATAGAATCAAAAGTCAAGGAGCAAAATATTTAGCAGATGCCTTACGAACCAACAAGGTTGCTCTTATTTCTATTTATTCTATTTCATATACATCTTCTCGTATCGAAGCAGACACTCATGGTACTGGATGTCAAGCGGAATAACCTGGAAGACAAAGGGGTACAATATCTTACTGATGCTCTCAAAAACAATATGGTTACTTTCATCCTCACTTCATCTCTATCATATTCTTTCTCGTCTATCCACATAGACACTCACGTCATTAGACCTCAGGTCTAATAGAATCGGTGTTCTTGGAGCTCAATATGTAGCTGACGCTTTACGAAGCAATAGGGTGACTCATTCTCTCTTTATGTATTGTTTATAATTATTTTCTCTTCTCTATGAAGACAGTTAACATATTGTATCTCGCGTTCAATCAAATCGAAGATTCAGGTGCACAACATTTGGCTGCTGTCTTACAAGACAACAAAGTGACTCTCATATTGATTTCAAATCTCTCAATCTTATATAGATCGTCTTCCATCTACATAGACACTCACCAGACTAGACCTTGGACACAATGGAATCAGAGAACAAGGAGCCCGATATTTAGCTGATGCATTAAAAGAGAATACGGTGATACACATCGTTTCTTCATCTATCTCATTTTTGTTTTATTTTATTTATACAGACACTCAGTTCACTATCTCTCACTTCTAACCCAATTGGAGAGAATGGGTCAATATATTTGGCTGATGCATTACAAAAAAATACGGTACTAATGTCTCTTCGTATATCTATCATGTTCAATTTCTCCTATTCTTTCAGACACTCACTACATTGAACCTTGAACATCATCCAACTAAATCTGATGGGAAATGACTATTGCAAGAGTTTTTCACATGAAATGATTTACTAAAAGAGAAGAGATAATAATAAATGTTTCATGTTAATATTTTCGTTTTTTTCTATTTCTTTTTTCAAGACATTTTCCTATTAAATAGTAAAAAATTTTCGTGAACCGATTTATCTTCAACTTTTACGAGCTCTTTTGCCCATTTGACGTTTTGCGATTAGTAGTATTATGAATCAGTACATATCTAGAAGCTAAGTCATTCTTGGTAGGCAAGAACTAGAAGGTCGACGTGAACATGGTCGAAGAAACGACCTCATCAAAACTTGCACTAACCAACTCACATCCGTAAAATCGTGGCACTATATTTATAAAAATCAAAAGCACATGTTTCAGTCATAGTTGGGCAAATAATAAGAAATATGATAATGATGATGGACTACGATATTAGGTATTTGCTATTCTTCACCGTCATCTAAGGTTAATTTATGGTGAGAATCTCGAATTGAAAAAGAAAACATAATCAATGCTCACTTACGTCAAATGTTTATCTATATTATCTTTACTTGGAGTAAAGCATAAAAAGATTACTATCTGTTGTTTTGTTGTCGTCTATTGAACTTCGATTCTAGTGATGCAAAACTCCAAGATGTCTGGCGTTCAACAGATATTTTGTCATGGTCAATAATGACTGGTAATAAGACTAAAATCGAGTGATTTTACAAGGAATTAGGCGAAGATAAAAGACAATCGTACTAAACTTCCATTAAACAAATTCAGTCGAACTGAAACTCTACTCTTTAGGTTTTTTTGTGTTTACTTTGATCATATGTAAAATTAGTCAAGAAAGGCATTTATTTTCTCATTTTTCGTCGCAGGCTTGTTTGAAAATTAAGGGTGTGGGTGTATTCTTCTTTAACCAGCACCCACATCTACACTCAACACCCTTTTCGTCCACTTTTTTCAGAGAACAGTACAATAATTTTGCAATTCACCCATATATAGGAATTTTAATATCATGTGAATTCTTGACTCTAGCTTTCTCTGCTTGTTCTTCATCATGTAGATAACTTCATTCTATAGCGGTCATGAGGTGAAAAATAATGTTGAAAACTCCATCAGCTCCAATACAATTCAGTTTCTTTGTTTTTCGGAGTATTCGATAGAAAGTAGATAACGTTGAAATTTCTTCACTTGAGGAGATGACGCAAGAAATTTCTTTGCTAATTTGAACCTAAGGAATTCAGAAGTCACGCCATAAATGAGATGCACGTAGAAATTCAACATCACACTGAGCTTTTGCTAATTTCACTGTTAATTTCTCACTATGTCTGAATCTTCTTAAAGCACATTCACCATACTTTCTTCGAAACCCGTTAATTAAGTGTTAGCTGTAAATGGAGTTTTTAACAAAAACGGAAGATAAAATAAAAACTATGAAATTTTTCATTTCTTTATTTAGGAGCTTTTCACATTGCTTGTGTAATCATCAGTTTAGAAAGAAAAGATACTACAATAGAAGATATAGATGTACAGATTATAATACAATTCAAAATCTAATGAATTATTATAAGTCAAATTTACGTGTATGCATCTATCAGTGTATATTCTCTCTGCGCAACAACAAAAAGCGCGAAGCTAAGTAAAAAACAAAAAGAAAAAGAAAGAATAGATAAAAAAAAATACATGTAACGACGAGCACATAAATGAGAAAAAAGGTATCGACGTGCTAAAAAAGTCATGGTCCATTGATTCACGTTGATATACATTCCTTGAAAAAAAAAGTAAACTTGTCAGGTATACATATAGAATGCAATTGACTGCAAGCATACAAAACAAAATCTGTACACTTCGATATCACCTAGCATGTGAGTATATTTAGTTTCTAACATAATTAGACTAGTTATAAAATTACAGTTAAAAGTAAAGAATGGCTACAAACAACAAAAAAAACGGCGGAATATAGACATGAGGCATTTTGATGATCATGAAGTAATGCTTTAGTTGGATTCATCCTATAACTCCTATCTTTTTGAAAAATTCTATATTTTATCAAAAAAAAAATACAAAATTTTCTGCAAACTTGTCATCTTCATCGTACATAGTCTTCCCTCATCACACAAAACAACATATATAATGTATAGTGGTGTTCTTTGTATGTTTACAACTATCAGGATGACATTTGAAATACAGAAAAGTTTTCTATTACTTAAAAAATGGATTAAATGAAAAAATAGCTAAATCTTATCAATATTAGATATTCAAAAAACGCAAACTTATGTATTCAAAGTGATCGCATAGTTTTTAAAACTTTTTAATTCAATCTTATATAAGGAATGTCTCAAAAATTTTGAGATAACAGTTAAGTTAAATATTCTTATATTCAACAAAATCAAACTTTGTGAAACTTTGACAGGTCGTCATGTTTACTCGACAGTAAATTATTACGTATTTTCAAGCCGATATCTTTTTCAAAAAATGAGAAATTGTAAGAATACCGTTGTATATTGTTTTATGTTTTAAATTTATTTGAATTAATAAATTTATAAAACAATTCAATTTTATATGTGAGTGTGTGCAACTAAGACTTATCAGAACATAAGGTAGTGATTGTCGTAAGAAAATGTATATTACAGGTGAAAAAAATTGCAAAAATTCATTCCAAATCTTGTAGTAAAACAAGCTTCTTCACAGCTAGGTGATCGATGTAATATTACTTTTTACGATGATCACGACCATATATAAAGGATGTGAACGACTCTAAATGCTGTTAAATACATTTTTTCAATCAAACTGATGGAATAAATTGTGCTGTCATCGAAGGTCACGTTTGTTCGATAGAAATTTTTTGACATGCGTGAAAAAAATTACCAAGGACGAAAATACATCAACGTTGAAAAACTGAAACATGACATAGAAAAAAAAATAGTAGAACGAATTCAATCTTTCTGTATACCTATAAGTGACAGAAAATACCAATATTATTAAAATTAGTACTCAATCAACATACTACTCAAATTAATAGTCATCCACCATTAAACTTAACTCCTTTTTTATTTCAAAATTTGTCAGTGCAGCCACAAGAGGGGTCGAAATGTGGAACTCACAAACTCTGCTTGTTATAGATTTACGATATATTGTCACACGTTTTAACATAATTCAGTTTAAAAGAATATCAAATAAATAGTCATTTCGAAAATGTTAACATGTATAATTACTTTTTTATCATCTTATTTGATTCATTTAATATTGTAATGTTGAAAAAGGCTATTTATGTAGTCACATACATCTTCAATACATCACTTCTATTTTTTTAATGATACGTCAATGATAGTCTGTCATCGTCCAATTATGGCTAAATAAAGAAATATTAAATATTGTTAATTATTAAAAATTTTAAAAAAATCCATGTTGCTGTGGAAACGTATATGGTAGTCTTTGGTTTTTCACCATCCAGGTGATAGGGCTTACGAGGGAACATTCTCAAGTGATACCAATCATTCGGGCTCATATTTTGCTCATAAGTAGAATCCAGTGCGACTAAAAAAAGCCTAAAATATTTCGTGCCATTAGACCTTTCTTTTAAAGTTATGATTGTTTTTACTAAATTTTCGACCTTGGGTAGGAAATTTATAGAAAAATTGAATGATGAAATTTCGGACTGAAATTTTGTCTAAGAATAGGTCTCATTAATGTTAGAAGTTAGTAAAAGTTTCAGTTAAAACTGATACTTCCTTCTCGAGCTATTGCATATTGAAGAAACCGATCATTTTCCAAAAATATTATCGTAGAATTGACTTCTCTTCGGTATGCAATATCTCGATAAAGAAATATCGGTTTTAACTGAAATTTTTACTATCTTCTAATATCAATGAGATCTATTGTTAGGCAAATTTTCAGTTCAAAATTCCATCATTCAATTTTTCTACAAATTTCTTACTCAAGGTCGAAAATTCAATAAAATGATCATAACTTTAAAAGAAAAATCTAATGGCATGAAATATTTTAGACTTTTTCTAGTCTCACTGGATCCTACTTATAAGCAAAATATGAGCCCGAATGATTAGTATCACTTTGGAATGTTCTCTCGTTGGTTACTGCCAGGCTGCTATGCGCTAACCTGTCACAGTTTCAAGAAGTTTTCTTTTATTGAATATAAGAAAGATGAATTTTAATATGGCTCAGACTTCTGGAAAACTCCTTATAATAAAAAAATATTTTTATTAATCAAATTCAATTATGACAAATACTATTATCTGTCTTTTTACTTTATTTATTTTATCAAACTTTATGATCTACTCGTTTTTACTTGACTTCTGAATGAAGAATGTTCTAATTGAAATTTATAACGATATATTGAATGAACTGTTTATTTTAGCAGACCTAAATAAGATCGATTTCCTGAGAATTTTTTTGGTGAAATAGACGTACCAAAAACTATTTGAAACTTAAAATACTGAATTAAAATCTAAGATTGGAACATGAAAGCAAATAGACCTTATTCAACGAATAGGAGAATCATCCTGGTCTTTCACAAAAGACAACACTTGAACTCTTCTATATAAACATCGATCAGAGAGTGTAGCAGTGGGATGAATTCCATCAATCGACATGTTTATCTTTCTGGAAAAAATCTTTCGAAAATCAACTCAAGCAAAAAAAACCTCTTATGAAGAAGGCATTCGGGCAGATGAAATCGATTAAGAAAGGAGATATAAATTTTATATTTTAAGACATTCTCTTCCTATATATAGTAGTTTATTTCATGAGAATTCAAAGAATCAAACAATAATAGAAAATAATAATTTAATTGATTTAATAGAATATTTTATTTAAGATAATAATATATTACAATAAAAACTTACATTAAATTAAACTTTAAAACCTTTGTTGATATTTCGGTATAGTATTGATCTTCGTCAGAACTTGCTGTTACACACATTACTGACGCTCAAAATTCTGTATGTTTATATTCTTTTCTTTATTTCTTTTGTTTTTTTTTTCTTATTTGATAGTGGTACAGATAGGACAAGACGATGATACTGGAAGAAGACGACACCTAGGTTTCCTCATCCGTAGCACTATCAAAAAAGGAAAAAAAGAAAAGAATGTGAATATATAGAATTTTGAATATCAATAATGTGT